ATCCACAAAATTCCAAGAAATAAAGTAAGATAAATCGCACAACAAGAATCATCGCATTCTACTCTTAATACTATTTCAACCCCCTTCCCCCCGAATAAAAATAAAAATAAAAATAAAGAGTAGACAGCACTTATTTTCGATATAATTTACCCATTAAAATTACAATCGAATTCGCATAAATAGCTTATCCTCCCCATTTTTATTTTATTTTATTGATTTGAGGATTAGTCCAAAGAAAAAGAAAAGGACGAGAGAGAGAGAGAGAGAGAGAGAGAGAGAGAGAGAGAGAGAGAGAGAGTACACAAGACCCCCTCGTTTGGACACACCCCGAGTATCTTGAAAGCGAATCACAGCCGTCCAAATCCTACACATGCGGGCCCCCACACAAGAAAGGATCAGATGGATCGCATGTCGTTCTGATCATCAACATTTGGGGCGGGGCTCCGATTCGTGGGCTCCACGCTCCTTGGAGACAATACACAAGACCCCCTCATTTGGACACAACCCGAGTATCTTGAAAACGAATCACAGCCGTCCAAATCCTACACATGCGGGCCCCCACACAAGAAAGGATTAGATGGATCGCATGTCGTTCTGATCATCAACATTTGGGGCGGGGCTCCGATTTGTGGGCTCCACGCTCCTTATGCTGGGAAGGATGATCAGCTGGATGTCCTCATTGCGGTAAACGTAGGCGAGCCCACCGTGCCTTGTCAGATCCATGCCGTCTTTCTCGTCATCGCCATATGCTCAGCAGCTTCAACTTATGGAGCCCATAAACAGCAGGCCCATCGTGGCCATGACTTGCCCCGTGATCACCAGGATCTCTACGATTTGGGCCACCACGATATGTCATAAAAAAAGGCCTTAAAAAACATTTCCTGTGAAGAACACAAAATCTAAATCTTTTTGTAAACATAACTTTTAGTAACTAAAAGACAGACTAAAAACAGTTCGTTGGAAAAAAATCCTTGCTTCTCACAATAAGCTCTTTTCGAACCCAAATCATCTCAAAAAATTCCCAAATTTATATATGTTATAGAGAAAAAAGTTCTCAACAACTTTTGTCAGGAAGTTTGTTCAAACTCAGCGCAAAAAGTTTGTAGAAAATCGAGAAAGTATAAACATCACAGAAATATCCATTCTGGGCAGTTTTACACGGTCCGAAAATAAGGTGATCGTCCAACCCAAATCAAGTCCAAAATTTCCAAAATTAAAGTATGTAAAACTTTAAGATGTTTAGAAAATTTTTTAAGAAAGAAGTGTTCGGAAATTCAAATCATCAAAATCTCCAAAAAAATAACAAAACGAGGTAGCACCAGGGACCCGAAACTTGATTTTCCAGAACAAGAGTAAAAATTAGCTCCGAATGGGAAAATCACCAAATTTGATTCAATAAAACTCAATTCTAGCAAAATCAAGGGTGTAGGAAGATTGGAAGGCTTAGAAATGAGTCTTATCTGCTTGCTCACAGGTACAAGTAGAGTACGTGTCGCGTTCAAGATTGATCCCTGATCCCTTGGCAAACCGATCTACAACTATTTCCTGAGGACTGAATTTGAGGATGTAACAAAACAGGCCCGAGCGCCGGGATCTTGGCCCTACCTTGATGGACCCGGGCTTGCCCTTGGTGGACCTCGGTAAACCCGACCTCACTGCGAAGGGCCCGGGAACGAGCATTGGGATTCTCATGTCCAAGTACAGAGTTTCTGGTTCAAATGTCGATATCTAGTCATATTTTGAAAAATGATTTCCGATTCTTTAAAGAGGAAATCATTTTCCTGAATTTAACTATATGTTTTCCATTAACTCATTTTCCTAACCAATCCAAACGCCGGAAAATGAAGAAAATCGTTTTAAAAAAAAAAATGTTCCGTGAAACAAACAGAGCCTAAGGTTTTGGATGAGCCGCCAAGATAGCAATTGATTTGCAATCTGTAGTATATCATGTCTATTTTACTGCGTGCTCTAACTGGATTGCTTCACTGGATTCAGTTGATTTTTGCACGTACGTCTTCCAAGAGTAATGAAAAAAGCCATTACATTCAACCCTACAAAAGAGCACAGGCCATTCTCACCACAAGTTGCTAGCTTATGTATGTTCTTGAATAACTTCATAACATTTGCTAATCGATTTGACGGGCCCTATATGGTTTCAGTAAAGAGAGTTCTAATCATGTCCACGACCACTCTCTCCTGCTATAGATCTCGAATTACGGTAGGTATGCTGAGACTAGTTAACAAAATTAGCCACGATGCGATGGACTCGAATATCGGGTGTTCAATATGGCACTTACGATTCGACACTCGACTTTGACACTCAATCTGAATCTTGGAATATCTATATATAATCACAATCCACAATTGTGATTGAAAATCATTGTTGTTTCAGGTGATACAGTTAGAATTTGAAAGTGGGAAAGAAAAGAGAAGAGAAAGAAACCTGGGTAACAATCTGTGGCTTGCGTGTTCTTAAGCATTTGTTCTACCTATATCTATTTTTAATTCGAGTTATTAAAAAAAATTATGACGAAGACTAAATCACATCCCTTTTGTTATAGTTAATACAACTAATTAAAGCTCTATATTGTTGTTTGATTATCGAATTATTAATATTTGAAGTGGTAGACAACCTAGTGATGCTGCGAAAAGCTAGTGTTTTGGGGCAGCTGTCGGAGGACAGATGATGTATGTATCAACAAGAAGGGAAATGGTCTTATTCGATAGGGTTTACCCTTTTGTATTTAGCTTTGGTTCTTTCTTTTCTTGGCTTCTTGTCTCATCACAGATATAACTTGCATAATTTGTCTGCCAGAAGAGAAAAGAGGGGGGAACAGGAAGAAAACAGGATCGTGAGGTAACAGACTAATATTGAACAGCCAAAAATGGACTAAACTCACATCGATGAAGAATTACCATCTTCTGAAACTCTACGACTAAAGCAGTGCGCGGTATTGATACATGTGATGGCTGATGGGAGTGTTCTTTATTTCCCACTCGCCGAGATAGATATTGAATTGCAATATGCAAACAAGAAGGAAAAGTGATTTCTTGCTTGCGGCATTTTAAGACAGTAAGACCAGTTCCAACCATGGTTTGCTTTGGAGACTCGGAATCATAGATCATTCATGAATCTTGAAGATGCAGCTGTCAGCAGAAAAATTCAACTGGCGGGGATTCTGAAACACCAAGCTTGCACCAAAACCTGAAACCACAAAACCTCGAGTTGGATGACCGCAAGAGGGCAAAAAGGCAACAGGACTAAATGGTCTGTGACAGTATAATGAACTTAGAAAACCCCAAAGAATCTTTGACCAGTTTATAGCATTGGTGGAATCTTGTAACCATTCATGAATTCCATTCTCATAAGTCAAAATGGTAGAGAAAACCAGCATTATATAACGTATGCACAGCTCACGCCAGATATTCCCAGTGTCTATGTCAAAGAAACATGGAGCGGAACAGAAACACAATCACTTCTTGAATGGAATCAGACAAGCAAAATGCAAGTACAAAGAGTCAGCAAAAGACCACAGAAAACTTTAGCCTAAAGAATTTTTCCAGATTAATATTGATGAGCTCATCATCGCACGTATCAGCCAAAAAGAAAGAAAGAAAAGGAAATTGGACTTGGGTTGCAGACAATGCATTTGTCAACTCTAATTTTTCAAGCCTACTTAATCAGGTAAGCAAAGACCATTTTATTAGTACGATAGCACAAAGGTCGGAAAAAAAAGAAAAAAACCGAAAGGGTGAATTCCCAAGGAAGCTGCAGTCGCTAATGCCAAATTTATATCATGGGTCTAGTGTTTGCTCCATTGAATATTATGCAAGAGGGCTAGAAACGACCACGATTTTGAGCAAATAACACACCAAACACCTGCCCTATCAGATGGCAACAACATCCCTACTCGTAAACTTTATTCAATTGGAAGATTGATCATCAGGAGAATCCATTAAATTAAATCCCCTATCCAATGACAGCAACAAAGGTTTTAGCGAACGCGAAGCTTGTTGCTTCGAACTAAGTTGTGTGAGAGGAAATAGATTGCTAGGTGTTGGATGGTCTCAATTATAGCTGAACCTCGAAAATCATAGGCCGCATTTTAAGAGTGGAAGTTTTTGGATAATTTCAATTACCGAAGAGGAAATTTATCGCCATGTTCTGGAAAATGTGTTTCGTGATGCTAAGAGGTGCATTTGTATAAGCAATAGACTCATTTATTTGTTTTCTTGTGGAAAGTTTGAAATTATTAACTTCTATGTAATGAAATTCCGGTTTCCATTATCTGTTCATTAGTTACGAATTAGCAGAAGAGTGTACCGAGGATGACGAAGCAAACATTGCAATATCTAAACTAAGGAAGGATGTATTGGAGGAGCCGAGAGTATGCACGATTCATTTGCGCTGGTCAGTAAGGAGGAACTTTATGTGTTCCTTTGAACATGGTTGATACCAAATGGATGAGCACAAGAAAGGAGGAAATTAGTGTCCGTCATTGTCATTGATACAATGATAAGAAAATGGCCGTCAAGTTTAACATAACAGCCAAGAGTCCTTTGGTGTTACCTTATAGGAGTCTTTCTTTGAGCGCTTAATTACGAGAAAATAAGAAAAGATACTTTCTTCATCTCTGACATGCTATTATCGACCACATGAGTCCGTACTTTTGGTGTCCACTGCCTTTCACCCACATCCTAGCTATGCTTAAGTCTGGCCAGGATGAAGCTGGCCAGAGAGATAATGCCAGGAAGATGTAGAAGGAAACCTATTAAGATTGAGCAACTGATTGAGAAACCAAAGGCCCTACTTCTTCTATTAGTGTTACAGAAGAATCAACTCATAAATCCTACTTGTAGATGAGAAACTTTAACTAACTTACGAATGGTTCAAAGCTTTATTCTTGATCTATTCATACTCTGGATCTATGTGAGAACAGTTCTATGTTGCAGTGATATAAAGGAGGCTAACATAACAATCTATCTAATGGATCTATTATAAGTATGCTTGTTACTAAAAGGATCGATGTATATACTTCTCGTATCCGTTGGCGAGACAGTATAAATAACTTTATTCATTGTGCCCACAGCCCAGGCACTGTTCTTCAGGTACTAGGGAGTCTGTCTTGTCCTTCCCATTCCTTTTTCAGCCAGGAGTTTATAGGCTGTCCCCCTTGAAATGGATATAGTTGGGCCAAGGAGTTTCAAACCTAATCAGGCATCTTTTTGTTATTGCTACTTGATGCGGCAGCTCCTGGGTTTTGTTTTAACATGCTGCATGTCATGTTATATTGAGACATCGGATTTGGTAATTGAGCTTGATGGACCTCTATGAGGAACGGTAAAAATAGAAAGAAGCTTTTCACCTTTTTCTCGCGAGGACAGAGGATTTAGATTATTTGAGAGTAAAAGCACCTGCAAATGTAGAAAGTCATCAGGTTTGTCATTAGAATATCCTGTTGCATCAGCTGATCTTGTGAAGGTAGCATTTGTCTTAGACTTATATATAAATTATTTTCCATGTAAGGTAACTTATGGCATGAAAGTGAGTCACCTGTCGTGATTAGAAAATGTAAATTTTTTTTTGACAGTGAGAAAAGGACAGTACCAACATTCTCCCAAGATATTACTCAACTTCATGTAATGGCTGAGCTGATTATTGTGTTGAGTTAGTATGATTAACATTAACGGCTTGACTACTCTCTATTCCAAATCTTCTAATATTCCTGTCAACATTCATGCAAGTCCTTTCTTGGTCTAATTGTATGAGTTATGCAGGAGTGGGGATCGGAGGTTACCAAAGGAGAGCACTCCCAACTCTGCAACTGTTGAGTATACTGATTTTTTGTTGGCCACAGCCTCAGGGAAGGTTGAAGGAGTCAAGGGTCCTGGAAAACTTGCTACTCTCTTTGAGAGAACAAAAGTGGCAGCTTACCCTATTGGTGCCATGACACCATGCATGAGATTATATGCGTTTCTGGGTAAAGAGTTCCAGACACTCTTAGATGCCAACCAAGACAGTCACCCATACAAAAAGTGGATCGACAGTTACTCGTCTGAGGGTTTCCAGGTTGGTCATACACTTCAGCTGTGACCTTTTCTCCTTTCTCGTACTTGGAAGATGATGTGGTTTTCAGTTTGCTATTTCAGCTCTGGTGTGAAATACATTACTGGAAGGTCCTCTTACTTCAATAGCTCAGAATTTTTATTCTCTTAATTTAGGCAGAAGCTCTGCAAATTGAAGACTTGCTGGATAAACTGTCTCTTTGACAGGCGAGAAGCTTGACGTCATTGAAAATCTTTATCACCAAGCCATGAAACTTGAAATAGAGTTCTTTCTTGCCCAACCACTTGCCCAGCCTACCATTGTCCCCATGATTAGAGAGCCCAGTTTGGCAGCGAATCGTCTTATGTTATTTTCTGATTTTGATCTGACTTGTACAGTCGTTGATTCTTCTGCCATTGTGGCTGAGATTGCCATAGTTACTGCTCCGAGAACTGATACAAGTCAGTCTGAAAGTCAACTTGCTAGGATGTCATCAGCTGAACTGAGGAAGACATGGGACATCCTTTCGAGACAGTACACAGAGGAGTATGAGCAATGCATAGAAAGAATTATGCCGGCCGAAAAAGGTATAGTTTGTGGCATTTATTGTTCAACACCTTGAAACATTCTCCTCCCAGCACTGTCTAGAATGTTCTTTACATTTTTTGTTTAATATTTGCAGCTGAGGCATTTGATTATAAAGCACTTGACCAGCTGTCCGATTTTGAGAAACAGGCAAATTCCAAAGTGAACGAGTCCGGGGTCCTAAAGGGTCTGAAACTTGAAGACATAAAGAAAGCAGGTGAGAGGATGATTCTTCAGGATGGTTGCACCAGTTTCTTCAAGAAACTCATCAAGGATGAGATGGTGGATGTCAATGTCCATGTACTCTCGTACTGTTAGTGTGGTGATTTAATCAGATCAGCATTTTCTTCAGGTAAACTCCTTTCCTTTTGGGGGCTACCCATCTTTAGCATAAGACTTTCTACTTGCATGTATACCAAAATACATAGAAAGCACCTGGGAGTGCTACTACCATCTTTTGATTGCTCAAGTCCATCTACAGTCTGTGCATTTGAGAACTTAAGAGATCGATATCTGGCTAGGGCATGTAATTTACTCACGACATTCACGGCACAGGGGACTTACAGCTTCTGAATGTACGTACAAATGAGTTGACTTTTGACGAGTCTTTTTCTACTGGTGAAATTGTCAAGAAGATGGAATCTCTCATTGAAAGGCCAAAGCATTTGATGAAATTTTGAAGAACAGGGAGGACAATAAGAGGAACTTGACCATCTACATTGGAGATTCGATAGGAGACATACTTTGCCTCCTTAAGGCAGATATTGGAATTGTGATTGGGTCAAGTTCAAGCTTACGGCAGGTGGGAAGTCAGTTTGGAGTATCTTTCTTCGAACTTTACCCTGAGTTAGTCAAGAAGCAGAAAGAGTACAGCGAAGAGAGCTCTGCTGATTGGAAGGGATCATCTGGCATTCTTTATATCGTCTCTTATTGGGCCGAAATACATGCATTTATTTTGGGGTGGTAGCTGAAAATTTCCTTTCGCGTATCCTCATTCTCTCACTAAAAGGACAAACAAAACCTACCTCAATGAACTTTGTGCAATATCGAGGAAGACTGCGTTTGAACCACAAAAGAGAAATTACATCACCCGCACCAAGTCCCTGTTCAACAATGGAAGACATTGGTACACCAGCGTAGCACGGCTCTTCCCCTGCAAAAGACGAATGCATTAATTTAGTACAACAGAATTCTTCCACCATCAACATCTAAAAAACTTCTTTCAATTTTACATTTCTGCAAGATTACCTCTATCATCGGAGATGGTTGAAATAATGTGAGTTGGAGCCCGAACTTTCCCGCTCTTAATTGCCGTGTTAAGATCCTCAGGGATCTGTGGAGGCGCGACTTCCTTAACTGGTGAAATCTTTCCTTCTTCAACCTAAGAAAGGATCATAAAATATGCATCAAGACTCGATCTTTGGGTAGGGCCCAAGTGGGAGTAGAACCACGTGCCCTGCTCTTTGCACGTGTTAAAGAGTCAACAACATGCATTTGATGACACCGTCTCATGTTCTACCAGTGGCCTCATCCCTGCAAACTGAAAACAATGCTTGCCGGTTTCTCAAAGGTTTCCTTGATTGCGGTCTCCAAAGCTTCATATGAAGTAGGAACAACCGCCCCTGCTTCCCTGAGTGCTTGATTCTTTGCTTGTGCCGATTCCATTTCACCACCGCTTTTTGCACCCTAAGATGGTATTAAGAAGGAAGAACCACTTAAATCTTTTATGATTTAGTTATTGGGCTTGAAAAATTATGAAAAGCAATGAAGGCAGTCACTTACAGCATGACCAAATTGCACTTCTGACTTGAAGAGTCGTGCACAAGTCCCACTAACCCAAGCCACCACTGGTTTGGTCACTTTCCCCTGCTTTAGAGCTTCGACTAGGGAGTACTCGTCTCGTCCACCAAGTTCTCCAAGTACAACTATCATTTTGACCTGAGACAGATTAAAGAGCAGATCAGAGAACACGCTCTTGAATGACAAGATTGCTTAACTAGTAATGGAACTTTAAATTGGCATCTTAAAGCCAAAGAACACTAGATGCCCTATCATCTGTTATAAGTATTTACGAAAAAAACAAAATGACTCAAACTGCTTTATGATTCAGACTACACAAACAGTTCACAGTAAGCAAGCAAAACAACTCTATATTGCTATACCTGAGGGATATTGTTAAACCTCAGTATATGGTCAGAGAGAGTAGAACCCGGGACGACATCACCTCCGATGGCAATACCTACAGAAAAGAAAAGAGATAAATCGACTGTAAACTTGGCACTCTTCCACATTGTTAAGTGCCACATAAATTAGAGGCATATCTGCATACCTTCGTAGATTCCATCAGTGACACGGGGCAACAGTGTTGTAAAGTTCATTAGACATGCCTCCCTGCAATAAAGAGTCAATAAATTACTGCAAATCGACAACAGTGTTCAAACTAGCTGCCCAGATGAACAATCAAGAAACAAATTTAATGTAGCTTTGTCTGTGCATCTCAAAATGTTCTTCAAGAGAGCAATCCAAACTTTTGTTTTAAAGCTCTTTTCCAGTTGTCGGGCCAAACGTCGCAACAACATGTGTCGAAGCATAGGAACTTCAAGAATACGTACAGACTCAGAGACAAAACCAACGGATCCAGTTGTCAATAGTCCCAGCAGTGTCACCGATCTTCAATGCACCAGCTTGAATGCCTCCAACAGTTGCTGCGCCAATTACAACCCGCAATACCAGCAGGGTAAGAAGCTAACTTGACCGACTATTTGCAAAATTATGGTGAATAGCAAAATAAAGTCTCGCAATGCTTTCGGATTCTACTTCATCTATAGCTAGCGTTCTTCTCACCTTATTGTTTGCACGAGCATATGCAATTAACTGTTTGGTGTCTTACTCTGGAACACCTTCAGCAATAATGGCTACAACTCTTATAGTTTGCTGTTTTAGAGCAGCCAGTGATGAAGCAGCAGCACTGGAAAGGAAAAAAAATTGAATTCCACGGCAAGTACTTTAGCAATCAAAGTTAATGTCAATTAGTACCTAGTACTTACCTTCTGAATGAAGCAAAGTTGATGGACCCATCAGCAGTAGGATGTACCGCACATGCTGCTTCAGTGCTGCAAGAGTAATAACATGCTTGTAAGATACAGACTCCACAATGTGCAATCGCCCCTTAAACTGCAGGTTGCTCCAAGAGTCCCAAACTGGGGAAAACATCGATAGAACTCGACCATACTAAACTGCTATAGTTGTGCTAGTGTACAATGAAACAGGAAGTTACTGTTGCACTATCTGCAGCATACTAAGCGTAGATGTAGAACTTCCACATCACCTGGCCACTAGGCTAATGAAAATCAACGATGCTGTCAATAGATCACAGGGCATGGGATTCCTTTATATTCCCTGTTTTCTTTTTTTTTGCGAGTAATCAAGTGGGCATTTCAAGTCTTAATAATAGTAGTTACTGCTGTTGTCTCCTATCCTTCTAAAAAATGTATTCATGGGTTAATTTTATCGCAAAAGCAAGCCACCGCAAGAGATTTAAAGAAAATAGAAGAAAAGAAAGGTAATTTCTCTCCATCATTTATGATGGGTATAATCAACAGAGCACTTTGTAGCAAGTTAGCCACCAATCAGAAGCAAAATTCAGCTCACTGTTTGGTTAGCTTTACAATCTAAGAATGATGGGGAAGAAAAAGTAAGACGTGAATGACGTACGTCGAATGAACTGGGATAGCAATTTCCTCCTGGCCAAAGGAGAGTTTCTGAAATCCCTCAGAACCAGGGTTGATAATACCTGCAACCGATGGTGTTTCCCCCGCCCTACACAAAACAGGAAAGTTCGAGTAACATTAATGACTTCCATTGAAAAGAAGATCCCAGCAAGCATATTAAGGAAAGAAACACATAGATTGCAGTGGCCCGACTTGTCCTACACACTACAAAGGAAGTCAAAATCAAGCATCCGCTGGATTGGGAGTTGCTTGTAGTTATAGAATAGAGCTTGCGTGGTGCGGGAGAATAGATGTCCAGTGGCCATGATGAAGAAGTACCAAAAACCTGCATGAATGAAGGAACAAGTCTCAATAATAAATCTAGATGCCGCATCGTAAGCTCCAGCGGCGTAACACTACTTGAAAGAACAAAGCACACGGAAGCCCAAAGATCTTGAAATCCCTCATTTGGAAAACCGAGTACGATGTGTTTACGTGGAAGCATGTAAACAGCCATTCACAACATCAGCTGTATGGTGTAACTCAGAATTTGCGCCATTTTGCAAACTTTTGTACAAAGATGAGCCTCGTATAGGCTGGCCTGACTTGGAAATTCAGCCCTGGGTCCCACCCCTCCCCCATATTTAATTTTATTTATTTATTGCGTTTTCATGATCGAGATCCGAAGCGTGAGATATGAAGATCAGCTTTCGAATTTGGAGATATGGAGACCATCAAACAACACACCGTTGCATCTTTTTTGTCCAATCTCCGACGCCCCTTTTCAAATTTCAGTGGCTTAACGCTTTCCTCCGAGGCTCTTCAGTGACAGGACATCACCATACTCCGATTCTTCCACGAACTCGCAATATGCATATTTTATATTTGTGCTGCTCCACTCAGCTTTCAACTCACCAGATTCCACCAATTCTTAGTGCAACTCCAAGCACTGTTGACCAGGTGACTCTCTTCAAAGCATTTGAGTCAGGGATGAAGGTGTGCGACAACGAAGAGGAGGAAGAAGAAATTGGAGGTAAGATAGCGAAATGAGGAGCGGCCATGGTTTTCTTTCGTCAGTTGAGCTAAAGATGCATTGTACAGTGATAGTACGAGTTTCCAGTTTCATTTCTCGGGAAAAGACGGGACTCCTTTTTTAGAGAAAAATGACAAGTTGGAAGGAAGCGTGGTTTTGTTTGGTTTCTCTGTTGAATAAGATAGTAGCTCCGAGTCATTAGGCTTGTTCTCATCACTGGGACTGATTGGTTCGAACTAAAACAGGGTTTGGTGATTTAGACTTTCATATAGAATGCCATAGGCAAGCCTGCACGATACGATCGGGTAGGGGACAGTTTGATCTTCTCGTTATTGAAAACCGGTCGTAGCAAAAAAACAAACAAATTATATAGGATCAGCGACAGGGTTGTAGTTGCGGATCACCGATGAGCCCTTTTTCCTTTTTGCAGGGAGGCTAAATGGATTGAGAAAACAAGCAGCTATCTTATCATGACAAAAAGGACCGCGCAAATTCGTTGGAGCGTTGGACCCCCTCCAACGTATGTATCGAGTACTGTCCATCCTATATCCCAATCAAGAGATTCAGGGAAAGCACAAACGATCTGAGATCGGAGTAAAACAATCATGAAAACAAAGTGCCACTGGGGTGAATGTCCAAGAACAAGGACTGAATGCAAGAACAGGGAGTTTTTGCAAGGACCCTAAGCAAGCAAGTTCAGAAATCCTGGGAATACTACCTTCTTACAATATTTCCGTATAGAGAGCCCTCAAATCAAAATGCTCTCCCACTTTCTCCGTGTAAACTGCCTAACTCTCATATCAACAGAAGGAAACTAAGCCTAACTCTCATATCAACAGAAGGAAACCAAGCTTAACTCTCATATACCAAGCCTAACTCTCATATCAACAGAACGAAACCAAGCCTAACTCTCATATCAACAGAAGGAAACAAGCAATAGCAATCTGACATTCCTGTCACGCAGCGCTTCCCTCCCTCGCCGCTGCTCGGTGGTTACTCGAACAACGCCGGCGGCGGCGGCGGCCCCACGACACCCGACCGGAAGACAGAGGACTCGATCAGCGGTGGAGCTCGTGAAAAATCCACAATAAAGGTCTACCAAACACAGCTTGTCTGTGTCACACATCTGTCTAAGGGAAAACGCCAAAAAAAGAGAGAGGATACATGAAAATTACCTCCACGAACCTCCGGTCTTCTCCATCAGGCAAAAATCGGAAGTCTCCGACGAAAACAACCGCATATCGTCCGCCAATGTATCCGAAAACGTTCATCGTGTCCACGCGATGAATGCAGGGATCCACCATCGCGTGTAACCCAGATATCTCCTCTAAGTCGTCGGCAGTAATGCTGTCGAAGTCGACATGGGAATTGGGGCCAAAGAATTGAACAATGAGATCGCGGCAGTGGTCGAACAGGGTATAGTATACCCCGCCGAAGAATGCTGCCGTTTGATTCGGATCCATGGAGGGATCGAGATCGAGATCGAGATCGAGAGGGAGAACAGGGAGAGGGAGAACAGGGAGAGGGAGAGCGGCGAGAGGAGCGAGAGGTCGGGCGTTTAGAGTGTTGCGCAGGAAGTTTAGGGTTTTATAACCCCGACCCGAAAAGAAAAACCCCGTTTTCTTCTTCTTTTTCTTTTTTTCTTTTCTTTTCTGTTTTCCGGTTCTTGTCGAAGCGTGGTCATCTTTAGCAACTTCGGAAACCATACCCGCGGATTATGTTGTGAATGTTGGGTCTGGTTCGACCGTGTATTTGTCTTCGTATCCTCTTGTGACCCCTATGCCTAGACCAAACCGTACGTTTTGATTAATGTCTTTTCCAGTTTTGTGTTTTCCCTTTTTGGTAATTTGTTGATATATATTGCGAAAGTCTTTTGTTTTTTGCTATTTTCTTTTGGGATCGCAGCTATACGAAGATTGATATGCGAATTTGGTATACTTAACAGTGCGACAGACAATAAGTAGTCAATCAAATTCAACACCCAATAAGAGTCTATACATCGCTTAATGTTCCAGCAATTTAGTATGTTTAACATTATCTTTTCCTTAATCAAATCCAGTTCAATTCTTGTGAAGTTGATTGAGCAATGTGATTCATTGCAATGTTCTCAAGAAGCATCAGTCTTGAGTACGAGGGACAGGGGACCAATATTCAATGTCGGGTAAATGTATGAGAAAAAAATAAATCAGCTATACACCGATTAAGTATTGCGATGACGTGGATAGAATTCTTGTGTCCCCCATCCTTTCGTCCTCTCACTGGATTAAACACTCATAAATTCGCGGAAGAGCGTCGTTTCAAGGTTCGCATTTTTTTTGTCTTTTAAAAATGGAAATCAAACGCCTATGAATTTCCCTTCATACCATTCCATCACTTTATTGAAACCGATTGACTCACTTCTCCACGCCGGCAGTAGAACGGATGCATGATATGCTTTCTCCTATGTTGCCGTAATAACCAGTCTTGTGCCAATTGGTCAATATAATCTTGTTCAACGAGTAATATTCAGCGCCTTCCCCTAGGCCCTCCAAAAAAAAAATTAAATAAATAAAAACACTAGGAGCTAGTTCTCGTTCTCCATGACTTCACAACAGCGGCAACATGATTAGAAGCCTAGGTACTTTGTGATTAACGACGTACAATCCAGCCTATGCAGTTGTACATGCGAAGGTCTTAACTTGTCGTGCTTCATTCGAGCCGGACTATGCAATGAATAGTTAGTTTTTGCTCGCATATCAGAGATTCACTTCAAATGTGGGATTGAGTTTTCACTTAATTTAATGGGTGGCATGCCCTTGTGTTCTCTCCACGTTTCTTTGACATAGACACTGGGAATATCTGGCGTGAGCTGTGCATACGTTATATAATGCTGGGTTTCTCTACCATTTTGACTTATGAGAATGGAATTCATAAATGGTTACAAGATTCCACCAATGCTATAAACTGGTCAAAGATTCTTTGGGGTTTTCTAAGTTCATTATACTGTCACAGGCCATTTAGTCCTGTTGCCTTTTCGCCGCCCTCTTGCGGTCATCCAACTCGAGGTTTTGCGGTTTCAGGTTTTGGCGGAAGCTTGCTGTTTCAGAATCCCCGTCGGTTGAATGTTTCTACTGCCAGCTGCATCTTCAAGATTCGTGAATGATCCATGATTCCGAGTCTCCCAAGCAAACCATGGTTGGAACTGGTCTTACGGTCTTAAAATGCCGCAAGCAAGAAATCGCTTTTCCTTCTTGTTTGCATATTGCAATTCAATATCTATCTCGGCGAGTGGGAAATAAAGAACACTCCCATCAGCCGTCGCATGTATAGATACCACGCACTACTTTAGTCGTAGAGTTTCAGAAGATGGTAATTCTTCATCGATGTGAGTTTAGTCCATTTTTGGCTGTTCAGGATTAGTCTGTTACCTCGCGATCGTGTTTTCTTCCTGTTTTCCCCCTCTTTGTTCTTCTAGCAGACAAATTATGCAAGTTATATCTGTGAGGAGACAAGAAGCCAAGAAAAGAAAGAACCAAAGCTAAATACAAAAGAGCAAACCCTGTCGAATAAGACCATTTCCCTTCTTGTTGCTACTTACATCATCTGTCCTCCGAGAGCTGCCCCAAAACACTAGCTTTTCGCAGCATCACAAGGTTGTCTACCACTTCAAATATTAATAATTCGATAATCAAACAATTATATAGAGCTTTTAATTAGCTGTATTAACTATAACAAAAGGGATGTGAATTAGTCTTCGTCATAATTTTTTTTAATAACTCGAATTAAAAATAGATACAGGTAGAACAAATGCTTAAGAACACGCAAGCCACGGATTGCTACTCATGTTTCTTTCTCTTCTCTTTTCTTTCTCGCTTGCAAATTCTAACTGTGTCACCTGAAACAATAATGATTTTTCATCACAATTGTGGATTGTGATTATATATGGATATTCCAAGATTCGGGTTGAGTTTCAAAGTCGAGAGTCGGATCGTAAGTGCCATATTGAACACCCGATAGTCGAGTCTATCGCATCGCGGCTAATTTTGTTAACTAGTCTCCACATACCTACCGTAATTTGAGATCTATAGCCGGAGAGAGTGGCCGTGGATATGATTTGAACTCTCTTTACTGAAACCATATAGGGCCATCAAATCGATTAGCAAATGTTCTGAAGTTATTCAAGAACATAAGCTAGCAACTTGTGGTGAGAATGGCCTGTGCTCTTTTGTAGGGTTGAATGTAATGGCTTTTCTCATTACTCTTGGAAGACGTACGTGCAAAAATCAACTGAATCCAGTGAAGCAATCCAGTTAGAGCAGTAAAATAGATATGATATACTACAGATTGCAAATCGATTGCTATCTTGGCGGCTCATCCAAAACCCTAGGCTCCGTTTGTTTCACGGAACATATTTTTCGGAAAAAAAT